TGTTGATATTTATTTCTGTCTCGATCATTTTCAGGGCCTGGCAGCATCACAGATTCCCAAGCTGCTGTGTGCCAGGCACAAAAGAAGCCAGTAGCACAGAAAAGTGACATTAGTCCGTGCGACTGCCATGCAAAACCTACCAGTTCTCAGATAAAAGCAGTCCGTCCACCTCTCCGGCTATGTCTGTCATATGCTGTGTTGAATTTGTCGACAAGCTCGTTCATTGCACTGTAACAAGTAAGATTACAAAAGAAGCATTTTAGAAAAAAGAATTAATCATTTTTACCAAAATCATAGACAAGAATGATTGTCAAATTTACCTACAGAAAAGTACAGAGCATGTTAACAATAATACATTGTTGCACTTGTGCTCTTACAAATGGAAATTGGAAAGCATACAGGCATACAAGCATACAGGCATATAGGCATATAGCTCAGAGAACATGGCTTGGCTCATGTCTCTATCATGAACCTAGACTAATCTAAATAGTTTATTAAAACCTAGCACAACCCTCGACATTGACAGAAAGCTAAGTCTAATTAGAACTTGAAGGTTGGAATTGTTTCTTCCCCCAACACTGCTGTCTGTTCTCTTAATTAGACAGAAGATTATTTCTCCTTTTTGTCTTTAATGGGCGAGTACTTGGGAGGCCAAGGGGGTTGGACAAGTTGAACTTTGGACTTAAAAGACACAAGATAATTCTGAAAATTCTATTCATCAAGAACACAGTGATAAGAAGTTTATGTTGAACTAGAATAGCCAGACACCATACCTCGAGCAATTAGTGATCATTGCAAGGTAAGTAATCAACAATGTGTCATTGTACTCCTGTGTAACATATTTAAAAAAGGAAGTTAGCAATCAAATCAAAAGGATAATGATGAGACTTGACTATTAAGGCATCACCACCATAAACAATGAATATATAATGCTGAAAAGAGAAACTTCAGGAAAAAGGAAAAAAGTAAACGTGGTGGCCCCAATTATGCCATTACCACCTAACTCCTAAGAAACGCAATATCAAGTGTCATTCACGAAAACATTTGCCCATAACTGCCAAATATAAAAGCTTTTAGTACTAAGTCATGCATAAAAAATATCACATTATCATTTTCCTGACTAATGACTACCACACAAAGAAAAAAAAAAAAACTATCATCTTCCTGACCAAAGTCCCACAACTACAACAGCCACCACCACTACCAAGTACCAAACTTCATTGCCGCAATCATTTTCCCAACAACCATCCTTACCACCATAATATCTAACCCTTCTTATGGTTTATCCCATGTGGTAAACAAGACAGGAAAGAGAATAATTACCATTAAGAAATCATCTTGAAATTTTTCTGATTCAATGGCTGGCAACCTTCTTAGGAGACTTGATACTTGCCTTAACAGTGAGTTCTCAGAAGGAATATCACCTGAATGTATAGAAGTAAATGCAGTTAAATCATACTCTTTGCTTTTTAATCAATTAATCTCCAAACAAATGATAACTTGTTTCACAGCCCTTCATCTACAAAACAGATAACTACAATTCCAAACAAAAAGAACAGACAGATACAAGATCATAAATTCAAACAGAAAGAGTGAATGATCTAGAGGGTCTTTAAGGTGTAGGATTTTTTTTTTTCTTGAGTTAGTTCTTTCAAACCCAAGCCAAGAATCAATTAGGAATTTACAGCTAGTGAAACTCATTTTGAAACAACTTTGATTAGAGAAACACCCTCTACATGACAGAAGCATTGCAACAAAGCTCAAAGTCTCAATATTCGGATTTCAGAAGAAATGAGCATTTTGTCAAAAAGAAGAAGAGAAAATGAGCACACCCTTTTGCATTGCGACAAGATATTGGTGAAGCACCCTGATTCTGCTATTGAGCATCTTGATCGCACTGTGTATGCCAGTGAGATGGGCAGCCACTGCATACAAAAGTTCAAGTTCTTATTATGCTAGTAAGCCTCATGAAAAAAAAAATGTCAAACTTGTAGTCAAAAGGACTATAGAGCATCCTTCTCCAAACAAATTATTGCAAGAAAGAGAAAGATTAAGGCTTACATTGTGTTGCTGCTGTACCTCCATCTGACGGCTTAAGATGCGCAACATGATCAACTGAAATCCTTTCTGCTTCAACCGTCTATAAACCCAAAAAAGCAATCTCAACAACCTCATTTGATAAGACTAAACTTAAACAAGACAAATGAGAATGTAAAAATGAACCTCAATTGTGTAGCTTGAGCGGACAAAAATAAGCTGTGGAATACCATCTATGACGTGCAACTCTTGATTTTTGATGATCAGCATAAAAGGAGGAAAGGAACATGTTATAATCTTACAATAATTAGGAATTGGAAATGTTACTGCAAACCTAGTTGTTTGGGGGAAAACTATATTAACGCTTCTGTGAAGACAAAAGACACATACCACTTTCATAGATGCAGATGGGAAGATCCTTTTGGGCATGATTGATTGAAGGATTGAGCAGAACATAAACAGGGCTTTCATTAATATCCATCAACTGGTAAAATCAATCGACAAAATGGTCAAGTAATGCACCCAAAGTTCCCAGTCATGTAGCCATAAAAAACTAGCCAGAATCAAATGTTCAAAGCACAGGGGATGATGTTTATTCTCACACAGCTGTGCCAGTGTCAGACACCATATTCTCAAATCAAGTAATAGTTTCTTAATCCTTATTTTAAAGCTTAAATTAGCGTACATTGTTAAACCCAAAAAAATGAGGAAAAAGAGATCATGAGGCATTACTGTTCAGTGTTTACCCATTACAAAATTATGTAAACATATTAGATATTAACAGCAAGAATACCTATTTATTAATTGAAGAATTGTTAACCCTAAAAAGGATTCAGCAACATTGAAAAGCGCAAGCTAGAGTAAAGAAAGATCAACATACAGCTTTATGGATATGCATATCAGATTCCTGAGCATCACTCCCAGTGGAGTACCATCCAAGTATGTAAAATTGAGGGAAAACCTTCTTATCTGGTACCAACACATGAAATTCCATCAATAACAATAATAATAATAATAATAATAATAATAATAATAATAATAATAATAAAGCAATTGAAGCAAAAGAAAAGGCTAGGATCAGAAATCATAAAAATAAAAAAAAAAAAAAAAAAAAAGTGAAAGAACATACAGAGCTCTTGCTTCTTCAGGAGGAAAACGCGGTCGAGTGAGTGAGTGGAAGGATCGTAGAGAAGCTCGAAGCTGTTGAAGATCTCAACAGTGCGACCTCTCTGCACCCCGATTACACATCCGTAAACCCTAGGCGGCAATTGGTTCTGTTGCTGGTCGCCGCCGTTGATACTGTTGGTAGTGGTGGTGCTGCCGGATGAGATTGGAGGGTTCATCTGAGATTTGACTCGAGTATAGTGATCGGATATGTTGAGGATAACCAGTGGGTGAAGCTTGAAGGTTAGGCCGCTGCTCGACGACGAGGCCATTGTTGCCGGCTACTTTGCTTGGTTAGGATTTGAAGGGAGGAAGAGTCGGAAATTTTGGGGTTTTTTTTAGTGATTTTGTTTCAGCTTTTTCCCGCACAGTCCCGATCCCTTTCTTGTTCCTAAATTCCACCGCTTGCTTCGCCGCCAAAAAAGAAAGAAAAAAAAAAGAAAAAAAGAAGGGGGAATCTTTGCTCTTCTTGGGCTCAGCCCGTTCTGCATAATTAATTTTCAGGCCCGTTCATAAAATCTTTCTTACTTCCTCAAGTTTATGTTTTGGGCTTGGCCTCAATCACATCCTTATCATTCTAGACCGTGGTCCACAGAAAAGAAAATTTCCAAGAAATTGAAAATTAGAAGGAAAAATAGTTCACTACTTATTGGATGGGGTTGGCGCTTGTAAGCCTTCCAAATAATCTTTATTTTACATTCTAATATAATTGTAAAATAAGTTCTCAAATCAAAATTTAATCAAACTTCTCTCTCTTTCTTTTTTTTTAATGGAAAATATATTATCTCCCGATTATATTATTAAGTTGGCGTATTATATTTTGTTTAGTTTTAATATTAAGGTCCAAAGTGGGGTGTATTTTAAGATTTGTGGGTCATGAAGCAGAGGATGGAGGGGTAGTCCAGGTAGTGACAAGGTGGATTTGAGTAGGCAAATAACTAAACATATGAGAACGAACAAAATTAGCAAAGAGGAAAGAGGTGGATTCATCTTCATATGAGAAATGCATGTATTCTCTTTCCCTTCACGTTTATTCTATTCTTGTCACCACCAAGATGGAAAGAAGGAGAAAATAAAATTTTTCTTGCAAGCCAAAAAGGGAAACCTAAGCCATAAATCCCCCAAAAAAGACTCACTTTTACTTTCTCTTCCTTTCTCTAAAGAGTGTGTAATGCATTTCCGTACTCAAGATTGACAAAACCCAATTGAAAAGATAGCCATCATCAACCTTACATGAACATTTTGATTACAAAAGAAAAGCATAACATTCTTTGCTTTATCAAAGAATTGAATTAGAGTTCGATCCAAATAATCATGAATATTTCATCAATTAGATTAGATGGAAAGAATCTAAAGAATCTTGTAAATTTTTGTATAAAATGGGGAAAAAATCACAAAATATTTGTGGGTAATTGATTAACACCAAACCCAGGTTTGAATGACATGTGTGTGGTGTAATATGGAAACAAAAGAGAAAATTTTTGTTTAACCTTCGAAGGATCAATAATGGCAACCCACCAAAGCAGGGGTGGAGAGGACAAGAGGTTGTTGCAATTTTGATTGTTGTTGTTGCGATGGCGGCTTTGGTTCTTGTTGTTGCTTGGAAGCCAAGGGAAACTTGGATTCCCGGTGATCATCTTCTGGGACCGGAAGATTGAGATCTAAGTCTAAGGACAAAATGCTCCTCTGTTTCTTGGCTTGCTCTGTTTCTATTATCGCTGCCATGGGTGCCAATAACAGGGTGGTGCCGGTATTTCCCACTGGTCTTTTATGCCGCCTCATATGGCCGCCTAAGGCTTGACCAGAGGTGAACTCTACACCACAAATGGAGCACTCGTGAACCTTTGCCCTGTTGTTGTAATTCATATACAAACCTCCTTTGTTATTGTTATGGTTATTCAATTGAAGCGTTAGATTAGAAGAGATGATGTTGTTGTTCTTAATGACTTCGAAGAATTGTCCTTCCTCTTCATCGAAGAAATGCCTCTTCTCCTCCACTACCACGGCGGTCTTAGGCTTCTTGTGGCTGGCCCTGTGTCCGCCAAGCGCTTGAAACGACGAGAATGTCCTACTACAAGTCTTGCATTCATAAACATAATATCCTGCTTTACCACCACCGGTAGAATGTGCCTCCATGAACCTCTTACTATTGAATTTATGGTAAATCGTCCTGGTGTCGACATCCTCTTGTTTGGGAGATTGATCCTTGGATTGGCCTTGAGCAAGGAGAATTAAGCAGTTGGCCATGTCCTCTTCCTTCTCAGTGCTGTCAACATATTCAGAAGAAGACATCTTGGTGTCATCTTCACTGTTGCAAAGAGGGAAAGGGATAGGGGATTGAGGTCGGAGACGCTTGGTTCTCTTCCCTTTAATGATGTTGGTTTGTTCTTTAAACCCCATTGTGATTTCCTCTGGAGCTTCCATTATCCCCACCACCACAAAAAAAGGTAGAGAAGAGAAAGGGTCAGACGGTAAGGAGGAAGCATAAGAGGAAATGGGATTCAATTTATAACACACACAAAAGAAACAGAATTACATGGGAATATGGGCATTAATTGAGGAGTCAAAATGGGCACCCAATGGAACAGTAATTAAGAGTGAATTAGATTAATCCGTTTATATGTTATGTATAGGGGGGTAGCCAAAAATGAAGAAACAACTTATGTAACCAAAAAGATGCAAAATTAGAAGAAGCCATGGGGGGAGTAAAAAAATAGTTGGACCTAATTGTACTTGGATTTGAAACTGCAAGTGATAGGTTCATGTTATTACAAACTTTATAACTTGGTTCATTTGTGATCTAGGCTCAACAAGAAGAGAGAGGTGAAGAGAAATGATAGAAGTGGGTTAAAGATCTAAAATTAGGGAAAGAGTAAAGACAAGGATCTAATTTGTACAAAAAAGAAGTTAGGGTTTGCAATATTGATAAATTACTTTAATTAGTAATTAATTTCTTATTTTATCAATGAAAATATTCTTATAAATTCTCAATTATTGATATTTGCAGTAAAGTAAGGCACTCAAATTATCAGTGGTTTGTTGGCATCGAAGAAAAAGATGAAGATTTGTAGGTGTTTCAAAGAACAATTTCTAATTCAACTCATTTAAAAAATCATTTAATATTGCCACATCACTAAAGAGGTCATTTAATAGTGCCTCATAAGTTTTTTGCATTTATACCTCATTTCTATCTAATATTTAAAAATTAAAAAACACAAATTGGTTAATAAAAATTGTCTCATGTTACTATTTAGTTGACGAAAGGATCAAAACGGGTTGAAAAATAAATTTTAGTAACTAAAAGGGGTTTTTTTTCAAATATAAAGATCAAAAATGATTTTTTTTAAAGGGGAGAGATCAAAATATCAAAATGGGGTTTTAATCAATATCTTTAAAAATTTGTATCCTTAAATTAATAAAAAATAAAAAAAAAACTTTTTTATCCTTATTTGCACTTTTCCTCAATTTACTACTTCCTAAGTCATTTTTCCCCTCTTCTACTTGACAAGTCTTCCCTGGAAAAAGATGGGAGAATCAGTAGTTTCTGAGCCACTCCAGTGCAGCATGTTAGTTGGAAGCAAACAGCAGCCTGCTTAAATAAATTAGCTCTAAAACCAGAACATCTTACATTTTTTATTTACTATGGGAAAGCAATTCTTTTCTATCTTGGAATCTAAATTTGAAATTTTTAATTTTTAAGTTAAAAAGAGATTATACCTAACGTTTTTGTTTTAAAAAAGTTTTAAACTTTGTTAACTCGATTCTCAAATCGGAACATTGGAAGTTTTTTTTTTTAAGTATTTTATTTTAATAAAAACACTTTTTCCTTTTCTTAAACTAGAGAAAGGAGAATAAACCGTCGAAGGTTGGCGAAGAGCAATTTGGAAATGGAGGGGCCAAGCGGGAAACATCCTTAACCCCTTTCTCACTTTCTCAGGGTGAAAACTGTAGATTTCTTTATACCAATAAAAACATTTCCTTTTCTTCAAAGATCCCTCCTTTGTCTATTGAAATCTGAGTTTTTTAATTTTTTTTTCTTAAAAAACTTTTATCATTTGGGAATGTCCCCCACCCCCACCCCCGGCCAAACAAAAAACACTTAGAGGGCCTTCAAAAACGTGTGGGGACATGATCAATGAATATTGGGTTAATCACCAGCATGTGCTTAGCGAGATTATGGCTAAATCACTAAATGAAAGCAACATCACTAAACAAATTTCGTACTGGAGTGCTGCTTTAGTGGGTCTAAAGCAAAACTATGACCCCTCCATGTGAAGCAAACCATGGTTTTGGAGGATTTTCTGTCCAATTTCAAACATCATTTGGTGAGCTTGAATGCATACAAGTCATGATTGAGAAATCTGAAAGGATGCACTTTTAATTATAGACACTCACCATGGATGGTAGGTGCGTTTCATATAAAGAAAAATGCATAATTGCTTCTTCTAGTCATTCTTGTAATCATGAGTCTTCTTCTAATCTGAGAATAAAAAAAGCAGAAAGTTGGAATTTTTAAGTTCATTGGAACATACCCTTTCTCGAATTTAGTTAGGTTTCTACTTTCTTTGACATTAGAGTCTAAATTGATCCAGAAAGTGGGAAATTCATTTCACATTTCATTGATGTACATGATTAGCAGAATTAATAAAAACCAGTTCTAGTCTCCACGTTCAACAATGGAGGGAGGTTAGGAAATCTGAGTATCTGATTCCTAAAGGGTAAGTAGGCAACAGCAACACTCAGCTAAAAGCTGCCTTCTGATACTTGGTTTTAGGGGAAGAGTCAGAGCCTTCACGGGGCTCTAAACCCCTTTTCTTGCTTAAACATCCATTAAGACTGTTAAAGGAGTCTTGATGTATGAGTTGCGGAGTCTTTGGGGACGATATGGCCACGGCCACCGGTGGAATCTCAATGGGATGGAGTGGAGGAGGGTGTTGCCATTGAGGGAGAGGTCCAGCCAGGAGAAGGGTCTGCAGCAGCGGCCCGGCATCCTTTACTGCCTGAAGTAGCTTCCCTTTCTCTGGTAAAGGCCTGTTAGCTGCCAATTTTAAGGCCTCTTCTGGAAGGGGTGCTTCAGATTGTAGTTGTGGAATTGGAACTATGCCTCTGTTAGGATCTGAACTGGAAATTAGGTTGTTGGAATTAAGAGGTTTTGATTCATCATCACTGCCTGAAGAAATCCCAGAAAGTGTAGCTGCATCTTGATGATTTACTTTCACTTTCTGCTGCTGGTTCTGCTCTAGCTGTTTTTTGAGTATGAGTTTCTCCAGCATCAGATTCTGGCATCTTGTCTGAGCTTCATCCCTCTCTTTGATTGTCCTGCTTAGGACATCTTGGATTTGAATCAATTCAAATTCCCTCTTTGCAATCTCCTCCTTCGCTGATACCCTTGTTGTCTCCAACTCCAGTGTTGTGTATAAAAGTGTATGCTTTAACTCCTCCATTCCCTGTTAAATCACAGAAAGTTAGAACAAAAAAAACCCATTTGCTCCAAAACAAAACAAAACAAAACTCAAGAAGAAAGGCAAAGAAAGAACCTCATCCTGGTAGCAAAATCCCCAGCTAAATGGACTGCATTGGTCCTCCATTTTCAGGCAGAGGTGTGAAAGAAGAAAAAGAAGAAAAGTGAGATATTATGAGAGAATCCTCAACTTCTTATATAAGAAGTGAAGTACCATGTTACCTCTTTTTTTTTTCTTTTTTCTTTTTTTCTCTTTTTCAAGTCGGTCGTGGGACATGGGTTGGACAAAACCACACAAGGCCAAAATTCTTAGTGCATTGCATCCTTCCTTTTACTAATACAGTTGACATCCTATAGATTTTGCAACTTGCAGTGAAGAATTTGAGCCGTAAAAGTGGAGCTAAAAACCATCCGATCCTAATTCCCTTTTTTCCCCTTACGAGTATGATTTAGGGTTTCCCTTTTTGACTCATAAAAGATGACAACTGTTATTGACTGAACGCGTATACCATACCCCAGCAGAATGTTAGTTTTTGAGTAAGTAGAGGAATTTGCAATAAGAGATTACATTTGCAAAAAGAGTCGCATTTCTTTCTTTCTTTCTTTTTATTTTTTATTTTTTTTTATTTTTTTCATTAATAATCTAAAGAGCAAATTACAACAATATATTTCATTCTAAATCTCTTAATTTGACTAAACTAATTAGTGGTTTCAATTAATCAAGAATAATAATAATTGAAACAAATTTTATGAGATTAAAATATAAAATCAATGATTTAGCATAAGTAGGTCATTAGAAATATTAAAGATAAATTTTATATTATTTAATAATTAATTTTTTTTACTTATAATATTATATGCGTTAACTCATGTAATAATATGATTAGTTTTAAATTTTGGTTTTTAATTTTCATCATATCACTATTCATTAATTAAACATGATTAAGAATCATACAGTCAAATCAAATTTTATTTTATTTACGTATTGAAACTATTCATTAATCAAATATAATTAAAGAATCTTATCATCGAATCAAATTTTATTTTATTTATTTATTGAACTTTTTGAAGTTTCTAGGTATCTTTTTATAAATTAGGACAGTAGATCCCCACCTTTTGGTTCGTGCAAAAACGCGGTTTTAGAGCGGCGAAGGAAAACCATTGAAACGACGTCAAAGTGAAAGTCTCTTTCTTTTCGTTCTTCACATGTGAGAGTTTGATAGATAGTGGACCAATCTGTTTTTGCTTTTCCTTTTAATATGGTAAAAGAATCCAAATTTTCAGATTTGCCTCCTTAGTACTTTGTAACCTTATTCTAAAATAATAATTAAAAAAATTGAAATAAAAACGATCGATGACCTATGCTCCTTGTGGGGAAGTGGGGCAAGGAGAGTTGAAACGGGGCACGGCATTTGGATCACTAGTTTGACACTTTCTTGTTCTTTTGCCAAGAACTCTAGGCTTGAAACGCGCTTTGAGCACAAAAAGGATTGAATTTTGAAGTTTGAACACAATCTGCTGGCAAGCTTAACACATTATTGTTCTTTTGCAAATACAAGTAGAATACTTCCAATATACAGTAGTTAGAACTCAGAAGCATGTAGCTAAGGCAAAAGGGAAAAAAAAAAAAACCCCGTAAACTTGTATGGACTGCACAAAAATAGCAGGAAGATTGGGGCTTTTCTTCACTTAAGGTACACTGCTTAACAACAAATGCAGGGATGGGGCAAGGGACGAGAATAGACTCACTCAGATCGGCGCATCTTAACATTAAGAGGAATTTCCTTGTAGGACTGAACCTTTTCAGCTGCTTTACGCAGTGGCCTTCCTACAGATGTCCTTCTAAGTTCTTGAACTTCACCTTCCAGGGCATTAATTCCTCCTTGTTCTTCTTTTGGGGTGGATGAAACAGATGATACTGGAACATTAACGTGCACCATTTCCTCATGTAGAGAAGAAATGGGAAATTTGGTGTCATCTATCTCAAATACATCTTCAGTTGGTTCTGGCACTTGGGATTGCCATCTAGTAGATTTCCTCTTTGAAGGGACCCTGTTACAACCAAAAGAAAGAAACCATAAGCATCCTTTGTTGCTCTAACATAAATAAATTGCATAGAGTTGTCTAGCATGCAAACCTCTTATTGTCAGCCTTCTCAACCACATCATGCAATGGCCTTCCAACTGATGTCCTAAGTTCTCGAGTTTTAACTCCTGTTGCTCTATTTCCTTGTTCTTGTTCTTTTTGGACTGATGAAGCAGATAATGCTGGAACATTAAGGTGCAACGTTTCCTCACGCAGAGGAGAAACATGATATTTAGCTTCATCCATCTCCAATACATCTTCAGTTGGTTCAGGCACTTGGGATTGGAACCTGGTAGATTTCCTCCTTGAAAGGACCCTGTTACAACCAAATAAAAGAAACCATAAGCATCCTATGTTACTCTAACATAAATAAATTGTATAGAGCTGTCTGGCATGCAAACCTCTTATTGTCTGCTTTCTCAACCACAAGACATAATGGCCTTCCAACTGATGTCCTAAGATCTTGAGTTTCAATGCCTGGGGCACATCCTTGTTCATGTTCCTTTTGGACTGATGAATCAGATGAGGATGGACATCTCTCATACACCATCCCATCATGTGGAGGGGAAACAGGAAATTTAGTATCATCTGTCTCAAATGCATCTTCTGTGGGTTCTGATTCTTGGGATTTGAACCTAACATAAAAGAAAGTTAATTTAAAGTGCTGCCATGAAAATAAATGGAACTATGCACAGTGTGAGACGCACAGACAAACCTCTTCTTGCCAACCTTCTCCGTTGCTGAATGAATTGGTTTAACAGTAGAAGATCCTGAAGCTGCATGAAAAATATCAATTGAGAAATGGTACAGAAGGCAAGGTTCAATAATTTCAGATAAATTGTTTGCCAAGCAAGCAACTTACATTCAATTTTTGATCGTCGCCTTCTATTGGTATTACAAGGTTTATTCTCCTCATGTTCACCTGGCTTGTCAAGCTTCTTTGTTGCAACCTTCAAATGGCAGAGAAAAAGAGAGTAACTAAAAGAAGATGTTAACAACAAAAATTATTTCAGAATAATTGAAAGGCAAGCAGCACTTGAGGTGGTTCCATACCCGATGTCCAGAAGTCTGAAAAATCCCACCCTTAGCTTTCTCCTGATGAGCCAAAAAGAATGTTTTTCAACAACATATATCCAAAAATCCAATAATCCCAATCAGATGCACTTAATGGAAAGTCACCTCTGCCTCTAGGTTTCTTGCTTTAAGCAAGCCATTTTTACATCCCAGCTCATGTTGAAGGGATCTTAACTGAAAAGGAACAGAAAATGCCAAAGTGGTATAAACCATACATGAACAATAACGTAAGACTAAGATTGAATGTTCTCAGACACATACCCTATCCTTGCCTGCATTAAGTTCCTGCCAAAAAAAAAGAAAAAAAAAGAATGTTAACCTCAGCAACAGCTTCATATTAACACCCCACCCCCCCAACAAAAAACCCACTGTTGCCAATATGGTTACAGAACTGAGAAACAGGTAACAAAAAAACTGTGTAAACATACTGCTAACATCTGGCTATGTGCCTGGGCTAGCTGCAAGTTCTGTTGTTGCATCTTCTGCAAATTGATTCTCATTTTCTGTAATTCAATTCCACTCAATTCAATGACCTTACTGTCAACAAAAACCAAGGCAAAACCACAGAGATCAAAAGAAAATTCAATAAATAAATAAATAAGCAACTAAACTGAAAATAGAGGAGTGGAAGAGGCTATGAAGAACATACTTTCTGTCTGCAAGAACTTTCATCAGGGTCATGTTCTCCTGGAAAACAGGTTCAGAGAGATATCAGTAAACTACACTGATGTAACAGTCGAAGACTGGAAGGGGAAGAAAAAGACAAATAAGTTGAATGCTGCAAATCTACCTTTTGGAGCTTTTCAATGTACTCCTTAGTGTTAAAGGAAGGCGATTGGTGCATTTTTGCACCTTGCATTGACAGTTTAGGCCGCTGCTGCAGGTTGGTTATATCAGCAAGCCTTGCACCACTTGCCTTCTTCTCCCCTTTCATTTTAATATCTGAAACACAAACAATTCCCCAGAATTCAACAAACATAACTAACAACAGAACAGAAGAAAATGAATGCAAACCAAGAGGATAGGCGAACACTTGATATGGCTTTTCCCCTTCCAACTATTCTCTGTCAACCTAACCTAGTAGAGAAAACAAAGCATACAACAGTGTCTATCTTGTTTCAGTTGATTTTTATGAAAGCAAAAATGTTTTCCACAGATTTCCACACGAATTTCATCCATAAACCCCAAAATAACAATTCAACCAGTGAAATTGTAATGTCGCAGAACCCTAGTTTCCAATTAGATGCTTTTGCGGTAATTTCTGAGCAACCCAAAGGACCACGTTGAATTTCCTCTGATATTCCACAGGCAAAGGCCCAACCCACCACAAAACAACAAATTGTAACCCGATAAACCCTAGAAGGCGCACATGATCGCAAGGAAAGAGAATCAAGTAATTTCTGAATAAAAACAGAAAATCAAGAAAAGAGAAGAGATTGAGAGAAAAACAAGAGCAAGTACCTGCAATGGAGAAGTTTTCTTTAGCAAAAAGTGTAGCGTCGCCCATGGTGAGGACTCAGCTGAAACCCTAATTTCTCTGTCTTTGGAAGATCCCACCGTCTCTCTGAACTACCGACATGTTTTGAGTTTTGAGAGGGAATCGGAGCGATGAAGGGAATCATATAGAGGACAAAATGGTAAAATCATAGGCAGATATGTGATTCGTACCCAACGGCTTTCCGAAGCAAAGACCGAGCCTGTTTTAAACATCTCCGAACCTGAGGTTGCTTCTTTTTATGGAGTAATGGGCTCTCATTTATTCCAATTGTTTGCTCTACCCGGGCTCCTTCAGGAATCCGCCATCTGACAATTTGGGCTTAATAACAAATCCTGGGCCTACATTCCTTAGTATTCCTTATTTAGTAGGACCCACAAAGGGTCTATCCTCTCCATGAGCCTTTTGACCTCTCAGGCCCGATTTGGATAAGATGATGGCCCAATTTTCGAAGCCATTTTACTCATTTTATTTTTGTATGAATGTTTTGATATTTTAAATATTAAGACTCTAAAACTTTATATAAGATTATTTAAATATTATTAATAATTTTTTTTATATTAATTTGTTAAAGATATTTTAATCTTTTTATTATTGAGGTGTTTTCCTCTCTCTCTTTTTTTCCCTTCTTTTCTCGCTCTCTTTTTTTTTTTTAGGCTTTTCTTTCTTTTTCTTTTGACAAAAATGTTACCAAGCATATATGAAACTTTGCTTTCCAAACAATTGCGTGTTGTAAGATTAGAAATAGATCCATTTAATTTGCTTGAAAAAGGCATCTTGATAGCTTTACAAGCCAACTTTTCCAAGTGATGCAAAATTAAAGCAAAGATTAATTGATGAAATAATATAGTGCTTTTTATACTGTCAATTTTCTTTCCAAGTCATCCAAGCTTTTCTAGTTTCCACCCATCTCAATCATATATGTTCTTTTATTTCCAAAACCTAAATCGCATTCATACCAAGGTAAATATTATATGAAACTCATAAAAATGAAACACTCTCTCATGTGAAAATGAGCATAAATCATGTCATGATACATAGTTAAATCTTAAGCACTCCTAATTAAGTGGAATACTCCTTAAGCTAAAAAGCCTTATAATTATTAATTAATTTCAATAGACTAAATCTATGACCTTAGAAAGTGAAACTTTACTTGATACATGAAAATTTTATGATTAAAATTAGTTAAGGTAAATGTCTAAATATCTATGTTAGAATTAAAGAAAAAAAAAAGGCTTTGTTATCGGGTTCTTTCTTAATCTGATCAAGTATATGCAATCAGCAACCTTAATTAATTTGGATTAACCAAGGTATCCATGTGCCTTGTTTAAGACATACTTACACCAAAAGGCATATCTAAGCCTGCAAATTGATTGAACTTTTATTTTGGTTACACTATTTTGAGTGCATGCAAATTAAGATATTGATGAATCTAATTAGTTTACCAATTCAAAAAATTATCAATATTGATCCATGCATAAATTTTGATTACATATTTTCATGTATCATATAAGTTTAAAAAATATTTGAAAATTTTCTTAGTTTCACTTTTGGATTTAATGAAATGGCTAGCTCATAATAACGCAAAAGAATAGCTGAAATTGATATCTAATAACTGCAAGCACAGATCATCTAAGATCAAGGTAAGAAATTTGAGTTCTTCCAAATATTTTGTTGGAATAATTAGGAGTTTTCTAATATAAGTAGGACTAATTAGGAGCCGCCAAGAAGGAAGAATAACTAACAGCAGCCAAGAGAAAGCTGCATCCCAGGTGGGCAAAAAATTGGTAGGAAAACATATTTCTTCCATTGAACATTTCTCCAACTGAAGAAAATCTAGCACTAGTACCATGGAATTTTAAGTTGATTTTTCAGGACCAAAAATTAAGACATTAAATTAATTTAACATATCTAGAAGCCATCCATTTCATACCCTATTATGGGATCACAATTTGGCTCAGCCGCCCATGTTTAATTGAGGACACATTTTCCAAAGTTAAGATGACAAAATCTAAAAGTTCCTTTTAAAAAAAAAAAAAGAAGAAGAAGAGAGTAAGAAATGAACTACTCCTTATTTCTCAATCAACTTAGGCCCAATGTAGGACCAAATTGATCCTTTTGCAACAAAATATTAGATAATCTGCATTATTTTTGGATAATGTAGGGCACATATAATCTCCAGAACATGCAATAATGGGATAAGAATGAATTAATTACAAAAAAAAAAAAAAAATCTAGTTTGTATTATAATAAAATTCAACATAAATAATTCCGAATCCAAATGTATTAATATATTCCAATGGTAACATACCAACATTTCAATTACAATATTCAGTTCAAACATTAATGTGACCGACCTTCCTTGTCCCCTTGATCCTGGCTGGCTGGCTTGCTTGCTTCCCTCCTTGTTCTAGCAAACAGAGCCACATACTTTGTTTGATAATGGACGGCCACTAGTGAATTTATTACTTCCAATTTCTTTAATTGAAAATTTTTTGTGCTTCTGCTTCTACTCATACTCTTAAAACATTTAGAAAATTTTTCTCAAATTATTATTTTTTTAATTTGGTACGTTCAAGCATTCGCCCCCATATGTGATGCATTTCCAATTTCTCAAAATTTATGTTTAGTGAAGTTGTTATTATTATTATTTTTTTAGTTAAGATTAAGACAGTAATGGAAATTTTATTTTCTAGGAAGTGTTAAAACAAAAAAAATTTATAGGAAAACAAGGAAAGGATAACATGATTGTACTTCATTAACTTCATTGTTATTAGATCATATATATATATATTTGGAAGTTTTAAGTTTTGTTTCAGGGACTTTGATGAAATCAAATAAAGAAATGGGACTAACCTGCTAAATTGGAGAAACTGGAGGTTTGCAGTTTAGTTTCCCAAGTCTTAAACGGCGTCGTTTTAAGCGACCAGAATTACAATCCTCTCTAGCCGGACCTCCTTCCTCTCCGATTACCTCCTCCCTTTTCCGATCAGCTTCTTCCTCTCCGGATTATCTCCTGCCTTTTTGCGGCCACATCTCCTTCTTCTCCCGCTCACAGATCTCCCCTTCTCCTCCGATTTTCCTCTCCCTTAAATCCTCAATCTTTCATCTCTGATTCCATTCCAGAACCACAGATTTCCGTGACAACGATCTGGCTTCAGCTTATCCTTCCGTTTTCCGATTCCGATCCAGTGACACTTCTGCAGTTCGCTTGGATCTCATCAGTTCCGGTACTCGGTTCCAGCTTTGGTGTGCTTTATCCCGACGATTTCAGTGACCTCAAGTCTTCTTCGGTATATTTCCTTGGACTGAGAATTTGCATAAATTAGGTTTTCTAGTTGCTTTCTGCATCTTATTAATATTTTCTTTAGTTTTTGTCAATTTTCGAATTCTATTGGAAGTGTTAGCAGGCAGAGGACTAAGTATAAATGGATAACAGAATTTGAGGGTGCTGGCTGTCTTGTTCTTAATGTTGCCTTCTCTGATTGACACTGTGAATTCCCCATCTTTTTTTTTTAAAAAAAAAAAACCTTTGTTTGAGGTTTATTGAGTTTTTGGTGTCTCTTTTGAATGTAGTCAGTATCAGTTCCCTTCTTGTTTGACAAAATCGATCTTGCAGTTTCTTTTATCAACTTTGTGAAGTAGATGAAGTAGGATACTATAGAGTGATTTGGGAATTAGAGAGCTAAACTTTTGAGCTTTGGTATCTGTGGGTCAATGCTTGTTGACTTTTTAGTGTTCTCATTTTTGTATATTTCTTGCTTAAGATTGGCATGTAAATGTTGAATTAAGAGAATGGTGGCTTACTTGGCTTACTTCCATCTTCTAGGTTGGGGATTTCTTGTCTCATTGATTGAGAAGCCTTTCTGAATCTTGCTTATAACCAGAAAGGATGGACTGCTCCTTGGAGCTGCCAGATGTAATCATTCACAAAATCATGGATTACCTCCCCACAAAAGCTGTTGTTCGAAGCTGTGTCCTACTGTCCTCTCCAAAACTTGGTACACTCTCCAACAATCATACCCTAACCTACATTTTAATCTCAACGACTTTGGTTTGTCAGGGTTTCACAATTTTGAAAATTTTGTTTACAAATCATTAAATTGATTTCGAGGAGAAGAGTTATCTTTGCACAGAGTTGAAATAGTACTTGGTGATGTTCAAGATATTGATGTTCTTGATTTTGAGATGCTTTCTGAACTAGCACCTGGATGGATGAAATTGGCATTAGATGTTGGGGTGAAGGTGTTAGCTGTCTACATTGGCTCCAATGATTTTCTCCCCATTTTGTATTTCCCCAACTGCTCTTCCAAAGCATTAACCTGCTTGAAAGTTGCTGGTTTTATTTTTGACCAATCATTCTCATCTATACTTGGAAATTTTGAATCACTTGGAGAGCTAATTTTGTGCAACTGTGAGATAAAGGATTACCCAGTTTTAGAGCTCCCAAGTTGCTTCCCTCTGCTTGAAAATTTAGCTATCATTTACTGTTTTGGTTTTGAGAGTGTCAGTGTCAGTGCATCTAACATTCCTAGTGTGAAGAATCTTAAAGTTTTGGCATGGGGGTATGAAACTCATAGTATAAGTATTGAAATTCCAGCTCCAACTCTTGAAATTTTGTGCTTGAGAGGCAAGACAATAAGCTTACCTGCTTTTCATAATCTTACTTTCTTACTGCTGTATGACACAGAAAAGAAGATTAGTTGCATTGTTTCTGAACTTCCTGTGCTTGAGAATTTGACCCTCATCTGGTTCAAATGTGAAGTGCTTAAGATTTCGAGCCAACAACTCCAAAATTTAATTTTGTCAGACCCTGATTAGGTTAGGAGCACTGAACTTGCAACACCATCCTTGAATACTTTAATCCTTTCATCTCACCTTTCAGGTGGTTATCTGGAGTGGTTTCAGGTCAACATAGTTGACTGTCATGGTTTAAAGAACTTCTTGTTGGATCATATAAAGCTTTCAAACCAAGACCTTGTTGACTTAGTTTCCAAATTGTCATTGCTGGAGTATTTGTGGATTTCTCATTGCATAATGCTAGAAAGAGTGAAGATCTCTAGTCAAAATCTGAAGAAAATATGCATAAATGGAGATTGGATGGAATCTATGAAAGTTGATACTCCCAACTTATGTCCATTTTGTTTGGTTGGTCATTTTTCTTCAATTGAATGTCAGTTTGATGTTAGATTCAAGGAAAGATGCACAAGTGAATATGCTTTTTGGGCTAGTGAGTTGAAGGAGATGCTATGTTACATTTAAGTGAGTGATGCTGCAGTTAAAGTCATTCTTAGTTCTATATTATTAAATAAGGTTTGTGGTCGACCTGGTGGTTATTCTTTAGATTTTTTCGAGTATAATCCTGAGACCTTTTTTCATCTCTCAGATAATTCAGCAAAAGCATTGGCGGAATCAAGTATGTTTATTTATTTATCTCTCATATTTCTTCAATAGTTGATTGCCAGTTTGGTGTTTAAACTAATATGAGATCTATGTCTGCTTGTTCAGGGTCGAGGCTAGAATAAGCTATAGCTAGTCATTAAGTGGCTTTTATATCTGCATGTTCATAGGACTACGTCTTTTTTGCATCTTCTACTTGATTTTTATTTATTTATTTATTTATTTATCATTGTGTTCTCAGTTCGTTAACATTGCTGACTGTTTCCCATACTTGCTCTTGCTTCACCTCTGTTTTTAGCAGATATGGAGACATATTTCTGCTGCAGATTTTAGCTTGCTTGCACAAATAAAATCCATTGTGTTTCTCCATTGTAGATATCTATTTTTGCCACATACATTGCATCTTCATGTTTCTCATTAATGTATTCATTTCTTCTTTTTAAACAATTACCACTACCCTGTTAATTTGTCAAAAGCTGTTGTTAGCTTCAAGTTTATATGTTACTCTTGGTCAGTTCATTCAAACATTTGCTTACAATCAATTAAAAGCCCAAAAAAAAAAAAAGTCTGGGAGCTTATGAAATCTTAATCAATTCCATTGGATAATTTACGTTTCATATTTATATGATTGAATCTGTGTTGATATGAATGTTCAGCTAATGAGACATTAGAACATACAATATTTCCTGTCCAGTCTCTTTTGAGCAAATTGGGAGTCCCTAAGTAATCTTTTATTTTATGAAGGTATGGGCTTGGAAGGCAACATGCAAACACAAATTTGTCTGGAAGACAGTGAGGAGGATTAGGGTTCAAGGTGGAAATGTGTAGTGGAAGACCAGAATTCTAGATTTGATTTACAATATTAAAGGTAAATATCAAATAAAAAAAATCAATTACAAAGTAGTTATTTTCTGGTTTCGACATGTTCTGTCCTGATGTTTATAGGTTTGTGCTTTAGGTTATAACTTTCTGTGAAGTATAATGATTTTTACCGTTTTGTGTAGCCTAAGCAAATCCATGAGATCGAGGACTTCCTTCTCGCTGCCAGAAGGAAGGATGCACGCTCTGTGAAGATTGAGAGAAGCAAGTATGCGGTGAAGTTCAAGGTCCGCTGCCCCGGGTACCTCTTCACACTCTGTTTCTTTATTTCCTTCTCACTGCCAGAAGGAAGGGTGCACGCTCTGTGAAGATTAAGAGGAGCAAGGATGTGGTGAAGTTCAAGGTCTGCTGCTCGAAGTCCCTCTACACACTGTGTCTTTGATTCTGAGAACGCTGACAAATTGAAGCAGTCTCTTCCTCTAGGAACCCCTTTTTATATGCATTATGATTAACATGACATTTGCGACTGGGATATGCAGCCACAATTGGAAAGTTACGCGTGTAGCATAAACAGTCTTTGGCTTGTAATAATTATCATCATAAGCATGATCTTGGCCAAATAATCTTTTATTTTAATATCCTGTTTGATATATCATCAGAAGACTTATGTTAATAATGATCACATTCATTGCTTGTTTGCAAGCGTGCAAGATCTGTGAAAGTCTCCCCATTTTAAAGCTCTTCAAGGGGTTGTCAAGTGCTAAAAGCTTCACCAAACTCGTGTCATTTTGCAACAATTCAGAACCCCCGTAACATATTTGTGTTTCAATGGTGTTAGGATTATATTGTTTTTCTGATATTGGGTGCTTCGGAGAAAACATGATTTGCAATTGCTTAAAAACTAAACACTTCATTCAATGGTTAAAAAGTCATTCAGATATCTCTAGGTTGGATTCTGTTATGGCATTAGTTCTGTTGTGATTATTAACTCGGTTTAAAAAATAGAAAATAAAAGTCCCTTTTAATCACCCTTTTTTGTCTCGTAATAACAAAAAGATATTCATGTTTTACAAGATAAATTATACATTAAAAGTGCTGTTTTTTCAAAAATTGCAGTAATTTCCTCTTCAATACAAGGCAATCCAGTCAAAGTCATCTAACTTAGAAACCGGCTGTTTTGAAGAAGATGGTGGTTAAAAAAGTTCTATTTTCTGATTTTTAAAGAAAACGAGTGACATATTCTAAACCCAAACTCACATTGCAGGGACTAGGCAAGGATTTTTGAAAACACAAGTGTAATTTGTTTTATAAATTTATTAAAATATCTTCAAAAAATTATTTTTCATGTTATTCTATTAAGATATACTATACTTTTAAAGTAGAAACCATCTAATAAAATACGAATTTCTCATAATAATAGTTGTCTTTTAACTAAAAATAATCACAAACAAGTTTCATGTATATTCTATTCTCTACCTAAACGACAAATTCTTCCCATGACCTCTATTGAACACTTCACAAACTGTAATGAGAGTTTCCGGAATTGAGCATTTCTATTTCTGTCAAGAAAAGAATTGGCCGTGCAAAACAGACAAAAACAATATGACAGTACAGCTAAGCAATAAGTGGCATGAAAATTTGACTCAAATAGCATTGGCATTTTTAACTACATAATCATCTTCATTTTAGCTTCTCCAGCTCTCCCATTCTCTCCACGATTGCCTGCAAGGTGCATCAAAGGCACGTCCTTCTATCAATTATCAGTTTACAAGTTGCCTTAATTGCCTTCATAATAGACAAAAACAAAATGTAGCCTAAAAAGGTGAGCCAACTAGGGGATCAAAACTAGTGGCAAAACTACAAAGCATGCAAAAAAATGGAGCAACTGTAGCGTCAGAGACCTGTTCATGATAAAGATGGTGAAGTAAAAAGGATACAAAAGAGAAGCTATAGATTAGAAAAAAGGTGGACGAGGCATGACAACAAATTTACCATCATCAGAAAGGTGTAAGCTCCAAAAACAAGCTGGTTTGCACTCAAACATTAGTTAAGAGTGTCATTGTGTTAGAAGGACCCTAGTTGTAATAGTTCTACTAATTAACTAATGATTTACTCTATTTATTTACTCTATTTATATGCACCTGAAACTTGTATAGATTGTGATTGTAACCCCTTAGTAGTTTGTACAGAGTGAAGAAACTTAAGAGAAAAGGTTCAACTCTACCCTCGCTAGCTTTTATGATTATTAAAGAAATTTTAAGTTGATGACTTGATGCACAGCTCTATTGAAGCGGCAGTATCCAGAACTAATTAAGGTTTTGACCTTCGTTCGATTGCAACTTGCCAGAAGAAAAGCCTCAGCTGCGGCCAATAAAGGAGAGGTTGGGCAATTTTCTTCTTTTCTTAGACAAGCTTTACCAATTTGTTACGCATTTAAGATGAGACCAAAGCCCTGTTTTCAATCTTCTGGTTAAGTTTTATTTCATCTAGGGTTGGTGCCATCTACTTTGCATATTCATATGAACGTAAACAGACACAGGCACAAAGGCTCACCTTGTTTAGTTTAGGTAGCTTATACCATCTCGCTGGTGGTGGTGCATGATAAAGAATAGATCTTAATAAATTGATAAATAAAATGCATGATAACATAGCATCAACTAAGAAGATAAACTATAGTTAAATAATTTTAAATTACAGCTATAATATGGATGTAGCATCTTTTATCTTTTGACGGAGGTGTATTATATTAACTTATAGTTTCATTGTCAAATTTAAAAATAAGTTTAGTTATATTCTTCATATGATTATTAAATAGCTTTATTATTTTATGATTAATCACTTTTAAAATTAATACCATATAATATGAATTGACTTGTAACTCATATTTTGTTTATTATTAATTTAATAAATTTATCATCCTTTCATTATAAAAAATGTATATATTATCGAAATGTAATATGAGAGTCACATTGAACTTCTTTTAAGAACATGTTAAAGTCGTTCCCCAATTTCTTAAAGTTTCACTTTTTAACTCCAAATGCCTTAGCAAAGGAGACACTGTCATCCATATTGCAAATCGAAGCAAACAGCTCACATCATCAGCCCATTGCAATTGCATGCTCTATCCAGGCACATTCAGAGAATCGACCATCAGAAGGGCCTATATTCCGTCAGTATTTAGCAGGACCCACAAAGGGTTCCATCTTCTCCATTAGCCTTTTGACCTCTGAGGCCTGATTTGGATAAGAAGATTCTACCGGGTCCACATTTCGAAGCCCTTTTTGTATTTTATTTTGGTAAGGGGAATCATTTTCTTTGCTTCTAGTTTAGAATAGGTTAAAAATCCTTTTTGGTCCCTCAACTATTGTATGGATCTCTGATTTGGTCCTTGAACTCAAAAAATCCTTGATTTGATCCCTACTGTTTACTATTTTTACCCCAATTTGGTCCTTCTGTTAAACACTTCTCCACCTGTATTGTTAATTCATGGTAAGATGATGACATGTCAAAATTTTACTCCACGTGAAAGACAACATGACAAAAACTAGTGACATGACAATAAAAATTTTAAATATTATTTCTCTTTCCTCGTCCCCTTTCTCCTTCTTCTTCATTTCCTAGACCCAGAGCCTGGGATTGTCGAACCCAGGTGATGGGATCCTTCAAACCCAGTTCCTTGTTCCCTTTCCTCTTCCTTTCCTTCTTCATCAATCAATTCATCATCATCATCAAACAACACCTACAAAAACTTCATCAATCAATTCATCATCATCATCAAACAACACCCACAAAAATAAAGAAATTATTTATTTATTTTTTTGTTGAAGAAACCAAAGCCTGGGTTCCTTCAAAGAACCCAGGCGCGGGTTCGAAGAACCCAAGCCTGCTGGATTCTTCAAACCCACGCTTGGGTTCCTTCGAAGAACCCAAGCGTGGGTTCTTCGAACCCCAGGTGCTAGGTACCCACGCCTGGGTTCCTTCGAAGAACCCAAGCTTGTGAACCAAGTAGCGGCCGTTGGTGTTTGCCGTCTAGGGTGTGAATGGGAAGAAGGAGAGAAGATAGTGATTTTTGCAGGAGGTGGGCCCCACATTTTTTTTTTTGTTGGCTGAAATCTGACGTGTTTTAATGACATGATATTGATTTGTAATAATATTTTGACATGTCATCATTTTCCGTTAGTTAACTGGACACATCATTGAATTTTTAACGGAAAGACCAAATCGAGGTAAAAATGGTAAACAGTAGGGACCAAATTAGGGATTTTTTGAGTTCAGGGACCAAATCAAGGGTTCGTACAATAGTTGAGGGACCAAAAAGGGGTTTTAACTTTTAGAATATTTCCTCCTTTTAAAAAAAAATAAAAATTAGGGTTTTCATTCTTTTTCTTTTGACTAAAGTGTATTGCATGTTGTTAGATAAGAATTAGATACATTTA